TGTATAAAGCGCTTTGAGTGCTCAGACAGAGTAGAAAAGCGCTATATAAGAACAAGTCCATTTACCATTGTGTCTCGATTGGGCGTCACCGCTGTCTTGTTTCCTGATGGTAGATTTACAGGCAACTTAAATATTCCTAGTTTCCACTCTGCCCCCCTTGTAGCCTCCAGTGGTCAAACATTTACAGTTGGTGTGAATCACAGTTGTCACTGATTCACACCCCGGGGTCTGCACAAAGCTGGAGTCTCTCTGAGAACAGAGGTGGTGGTTACAAGAAAACAGGGGAGTACAAATAGTGTTCATTGAGCTTATGCTGATTTACAGTTAGTTTACTTAGTTAATTCATTTATATACTTTGTGAACATTCAGCACAATTAGAGATCAGAGTTTAACAGAAAATCAAGTTTCAGAAGAGTGAGTAGGAAAACGTGGTGCTTTGCATCTATTTCAGTGGACAATCATGAATTTGATGAATGAAAATCAGTTTTAACAGTCAATCCTGAGGAATCCTAAACTGCAAGCATACACTCACTGGAAACTTTATTAGGCATACCTTGCTAGTCCCAGGTTGAATGCCCTTTGTCCTTAAGAACTGCCATAATTTACTTAAATACATATAAAGATAACATCAACAAGGTGTTCAAAACATTCCTCAATTTTGGTCCATACTGACATGACAGCATCACATCAGGGTGGCTGTAGCTGGGGAGGTAGAGCAGGTCATGTACTATTCCCTGGCTGCTCCACTCTGCATGCCAAAATTATTCTTGGGTATCCATAGTTCAAAAAATATCTAACAAAAACTCAATGCTGTCTTTGTTTTTGTTCCTCTGTCTTATTTCCATGCACACAGCATTTTTTGAGTCTTCTTTTGGAAAATCTGGTGATAGCTTATTACTATCCAAATAATAAGCATTCCTGTATACATGAAAAAATACATTAAAATGGGAACTGATCTGCCATTAAAAACTCCTACTGTCTGCCTCTATCAAAAGTCTAATTGCTTGCAGCAGTATAAGTGAAAGCAGTTCCACAGCCTTGGACAAACTGGGCAAATTCAGTTTTATTTGGAGCATACTGCTACTCTTACTTCTTGTTTCTCATGCGTTGACAAATACCAGACGGGTGGAGTAGATCAGGTCTGCCAGGTAGAGGATGAAGTTGACACCGGTGAGTACAGCCACTGTCATGCCCTTATCCCATGAACACAACCCCAATTGTGTGTTGCAGTTGTATGGCCTATTTTTATTCCCACCGTGCCTGGGGTCAAAGTTGAAGATAGGCCAGATGATGGTTGCTAACAGGTAGAGGACCAC